GGAGGCTGTGGAAAAGGGAGGAGAAGAAAAGACACCCTGTTAGCAGGAGCAGGGACAGAGATGCTGCTTGTCCCGCACTGGCCACCTGGCCCCTGGCTCCCTGGAAAGACACGGGCAGGCACAGGCAGTGCTGCCCGGTGGGTGGCTGTGGGTGCCCCGGTGCCAGCCTGCCCACCCACCTGCAATCGGCCCTTCTCTCACCCCTGCAGCTGGGGTTGGCTTCACCCAGGGGTGAAGGTGTCTGGTACCTACTGGGAGCCTGGGCAGGAGCATCCTCTTCGTGGGTGCTTGTCCCATCCCGTCCCTGTGCCTGGCTGGGAGGGCAGCTCCGCTAATGGGGTGGGCATGGGGACCACTTCCCCATCTCACTCACTGCCCTACCAGTCCCTCCCTGATCCCCTGGGACAGGGAGGGAAATATCCATCAGTGGTGGGATGTGCTCAGGGCACAGGAGGGGAAACAGCCCTATCTGGCTGGCAGGGACAAAGTTTCCGCCTGATCTTTGCTGCCAGTCTCTTTTGAAGCTGGCACCGCTCCAGTGTGATAATTGCAGGAGGGTTTTGATCGAAGCAGCAAAAGCTGGTTGGGAACAGCCTGGGTCTTGATTGCTGGCGGTCCCTGCCAGGAGCAGCCTGCAGCTCTCCGGGTCTGCGGCAGAGCCAAGGAAATCAGCAGCTTGGTCTGCACCACGCAGCCGCCCTTGGACACCTCCTCCATCCCTCCTTCCATCTCCTCCCATCTCCTCCCTGGGGCAGATGTTTGTCCCTTAAGACCGTATCGACTTTCCCTGGCTGTGGGACTGTAGCTTTAGTTGGAATTGCCCAGCTGCACCAGAACCTGGCAAGGAGGCCACTGGACAGATGTGATTTGGCCGAGGCCAAGGAAATTATTGGGAAGCTGCAGGCGAGCAGGGATGGGACAGGGGTGTAGGCAGGCCTGGGAGTGGGCTGGGACCCCAGTGGGAGAGGGCTGGCTGCTGTCAGCTGAAGGCTTGGCAAGAGAAGGCTCAGGAGCCCAGCCCTGTCCCTTGGCTTAGCTCTGCCGCAGGGCTCCTGTCTGCTCCCAGGGCAGGGGGATGCTGGGGAAGGGCTCAGGGGGACCACAGCTCCCCTCTCCTATTATCTCTGCTGATGCAGGTGATGCCAAAACTCACCCTTGCAGAGCCATTTCTTTTTCTTTCCTTTCTTTAAGTAGCCTGAGCCCTTTGTAAGCTCCTTGTTGCCCTTTTCTGGCTCTGGAGCTACCCCTACCCTGCCAAGGTGGAGGTGCCTCCAGGGCAGGAATTGCCTGGGCTGTTCCTCCAGCCAGCCCCCATGGTCCACACCTGCCCAGAAGATGCCAGCTCCCATGGCCTCATCATGGGAGAGCTTTCAACAAGTCAAAGGGACCATGATATTCACTTCTGCCTGGCTCGGAGCTAACCTACACCCTAAGATGATGCCCCCTTTCATTCCCAGCTCCTTCTCCCAACTACAGGGATGCATCAGCCCTAACCCGAAGGTAAAGGGGCCAAGACGTACGGTTTATGCAAGATATCCGCGGTTCCTCCCACTGCCCGTTGGGCTGGCACCGAATCGTGGGTACGTGGCGCTGGATGTAGCCTTGGTTGCACTGGTACCGCACCATGGAGTTTATTTCGTAGCGGTCCTTCTTCCGACCAAAGGTCCTGGCGTTCTCCACCACAGGGGGGTCCCCGCAGGCCACTGCAGAAGACGGGCAGAGACACGAAGAGCTCGAGGAGTCCTGCCTGGCTCAGCAGGCAGCCCACGCCCTGGCTCAGCAGGCAGCTCACACCTGGGCAGCTCGGCGCAGGCTGGGCACACACAGCCTCATCCCTCCTCATAAAACCTTAAATCCCTTTGAGATTGCCTCCGTCCACATAATTTAGGGGCGGGGGATATGGAAATTCTGTGATGGGCCCTGAAAATAAGCAGTGGTCTGCCTCAAGGGTCCATTCCTGCCTCCCAGAGAGGCAGTGAGAGCCGGGCATCACAACAGCCACTTGTGTCCATGGGTGGGCACAGACCTGGTGTGTGGGAGCAATGCTGCAGCCAGGGTATGGCTCTGCCTGGGGAGACGTGAAACCCTGTCCTTGGTGGCTCATCTTATTTGTTTTCAAGCCCTCAGGAAACTTTCTTCTAGAGCCTTGACCAACTTTTATTCCTAATTCCTTCCGCCTCTTTGACCACCCTTTGCAGTGACAAAACCCATGTTCGTGTGCCCTGGGGGCTCCACTCCAGCCCCACAGCCACTGTCTGAGCACCCCCTCCCCCTTGCTGGCACAGCGCAGGGTGCTGACCTGTTCCTTTCTTGCAGGTGAAAGGGAGGTGATAGTTGCAGGGAACGTCATTCCATTCGCCTTGCTCATGCCAGATCATCACAACGCAGTCCTCACCCGCCGCGAAGAAGTTATCAGGTTGGTTGGGCCGCCAGTTCTCAAATTGCTGCCGAGAGAGGAAAGCCCTTCACCTAAGGGTGAGCTCTCCCCTCTCCTATCCCTCCTTCATCCATGCTGCTGCCTTGCCCATGCATCTCACCGGCAGAGACCATGGCTTGCCAGCACTGCTACTACAGAGGTTATTTCTATTGCAGTGGTGCCCAGAAGCTTAGCTGACCAGCTTTACTGAAGGCTTGGAAAAACCATGAGCCCTACAAAGTTTAGGACTGCCTCCACTCAATGCCCAACCCAAGCACTCAGCATGTAACTCATGGGGCTCTTCCCACCCAAGGGGAACCTCTTCCCCCGCACCAAAAGCCAGTGCCTGCCCACACCGTGGGCTGCAGCCTCACCAAGGAGTGTCCGTCGGACCAGCGGAAATCGTTCTCCACGGCTCTGTCACTGAGGCCGATCCACTGGTAGTCCTGTGCGTGGCCTGGAAGAGCCAGAGAGGGAGAGGAGAGTGGGTCATGGTTCTCCTACACCTTGCTGGAAGTGATTCTTTGCCATCTCAGCTCTCTTTGGCCCTGGAGCCTCTGGGTCATTTGGCTTCTTCCCAGTCACTAGCCCCTGATGTCCTTTTTTCCCTGCATCATGCTTGTCCCCCTCCCTCCCCACTTGGTGTGCCATGAGCATGGATCCACCCACGTTGGCATGGGTCACTGCGCTTGTAGCATCAAGTGAACATGTTGTGTACACATCAGAAACGTGGTAAGAGCAAAGATCTGTTCTAGCCAAGAGAGGGCCCTCTTCTCTCTCACGGCTGGATGGTTTGTCCTTTGCTGCACAAGAGTGAGGCCTCGTTAGGAAATATCTGAGCACTAGTGGGGGAAATTGTGGGGTTTACATCTGTTTGGATAAATCTACCCATAGACTTAGAGTCCAAGGGGTGGACCCCTGCCCAGTCTCAGGCTGCCCTCAGCACTCACTGTTCACAAATTCTTGCTCCTCTGGGGTGATGATACTGCTCAGGTGGGCTTGATGTTGTCGGCATCTGGTCTCTGCATCCATCCAAGTCTCCCTGTCTTCAAAGTGCCTGTAGCAGTGGCCCTGGAACTTGGTCCAACCTTCCTCACAGTTTTCCAGGTCTGAAACACACAAAGTAGGGATGAAAAGACGTTGGTGCATGGGTCTGGAAGCTTTCCTACTCACCTTTTAGCAGCTCATGCTCTCATGGCATGAGACAACACATGGTCACTTCCACTAAAAAGAAAACCCTGACACTGTTGCCTGTGGGAATTCCCAGGGGAAATTACCAGAAGGCACCCAAGACACACGCAGAGAGGGGAGCCTGTGTTGGTGACCCCATGTTTGCAGTAACGTGATCAGTGCTACTAGAAAACTTGAGCAATACAAACTTATTCCTGAGCAATTCCATCCCTGTGTCATGTTCCTGGACTCTGTTTTTGACGAACTGACCAAGCAAGAACCCCTCTCTTCCCACTTGTGCTGGTCTGCAGAGTTTTCTTGCTTTGGAAAGAAACTCCAGATGCCCAGAATCAACACACACATGTTGAAAATGAAAGAGGGGAGGAAAGCCCAGGTTCAGGTGGTTGCATTGCTTGGTGTGGTTCTGGAGCTCTGGAGGAGAAGCAAGCCTACAAAGATGGGAGAAGAGACAGAGACAGGAACTTACCATGATGGAGAGAGAAAATGAAATGTCAAGGAAAAGTCTTGGAACCTACTAGAGAAGTGCAAAAATTTCTCAACATTTCAGAACATCTTTTACCATCTGAGAAACACTGAAGAGTTGAACCCGTTAATTATAAAAATAAAACCACAGATGGAGGAGAGCAGAGGTGAGTGGAGAAACCACCAAAAAAGACCTTCAGCAGCTCCCATGCAATGCAACACCACACATCTACTCCATGTGACTGAAGGAAACAGAAAATTTGTTTAATCTCAGCCTTTCAAGATGCCTGATCTACCGTCCTTTCTCAGGCACTTGCTGCTCATGGAGTGGTGGGCTTTCATGAGTCCTCATGCCTCTCTCACTTTCCAGTAAGGTTTTCTGTATTCAGTTTCTTTCTTCTTTGTTAAGCTTGGTAGGTCACAGCACTTGTCACCTTCAATCACACTGATTCCTCCTAATCCATCTTTCTGGTGTTCTTCCAGCTGGAGGTTGTAGACATTTCATAAATGTTGGAAGGGTTGGTAGTTAGTTGAGGCGTTAAAAACATTTTCTGCCTTCTTCAACAGACCAAATGGATTATCTGGAAGTGGCTGAAGCTCTAAGGAGTCTTGGTCTTTGTAGGCAGATCGCTTGCACAAGTTGAGCAAGGAACGTGCTCTGTCTTTTGAGATTTAAGACTTTTTTCCAGCAACTTGAATGCCACCCTTTGTCATCACAGCCTGGGGATGGGACAGCACAAGGCACAGAACCCCAGCAGGACATTTCCTAAGAGAAAGGCCACTCTTTCATACATAGCTGTTACTTCTGGGGAAATAGGACAGCAATCGTCTTGGAAAATCTTGTTCCTTGGTAGGGACACTGTTGTGGTGACAAGAAAGACTGGCCATGTGCGCAGACGGCAGGGCTTGCCTACGGTGTCCTGCTCTTCTTGGAGACCGACAGAAAAGATGATCTGCCTCATGGGAATAACGAAGATTTACATTCTCCACTGAATTCGGGGCACCAGCTTCCTCTTGCATCTCCCAGGCTATAGCCCTCAGGTATCATGTGCCCGTAAATCAGAGAAGAGGGGAAATTGAGTCTGGCTTGGACCAAACAAGATTGTAAGCAGCCACAGGGTAGAAGGTCTCTTGTTGGATTATAGGGATCTTCAACAACAGGGATCAGGAATGTGTAAATCGGGAGCTGATTGTATTGTATTAGGAAAGTGATGTTAAGACTACACAATTCCTGCCCAGACAGTCCGATGATCCTGAGCCACCTTCTTATGGTCTACTCCATATGTTCATATCGGAAGCAGAAAGAGAGATGCAGAGAAAGGGGAGGAGAAATTCCAATATATATTATCATTACGCATGCCAAGGTGAAGAAGACACTGCAACCGTATTTCTCTTTTGTTTGAGCAAGGCAGGAGAGCTTCCCTTCAGCTAAGCTGATAAAAGTTTGGACTTTCATCAGCTTTAAGAAAAAAAAACCCCAACTCTTTTTCTTTCCTTGTAGAAACAAAAAGAAGTATTAGTGCAGGTCAGAGTACCTAATTTTGACGGAAAAATAGGTCGCTTCACGTTTCCTCAAAGATATACATTCCCTGCTGATTTTGCCACAGGAAGCCACGTTGAAGAGATGACGAGAATGTCATGCTGTGTCAAATCGGTGGAGATTCCTGGAGTGAAAGAAGTTTCTCTCAGCTGCATCTTCACAGAGAGAAACAGAATCATTTTTCATGGCTCAGTTGAAGCATCCTTCCATGAAATTCCAGTCTAGCAGAAAAAGTTTGCCTGGGGTGAAGATGTACTTAGATGTTTCCCTGCTGTTACAGATGAACAGAAAGACCCTTGACCCAAAGAGACAGCGACTTCTGTGATCAGCATTGTCACAATCTGTATGGAGCTTCACTAGAGAAACTTAAAAAAGATAAAGTTGAAGAAGAGACCAGAAGCTCCTGCTTAGGAATCTTAGAAGACATGGTGCTATGTCGAATAAACTAATCAAAATACATAAGCAAAAGTCTCAAAGCTTTTCCCTAGTGTATTTTAAGCTGCTGTTAGAGGTTAGCTTACTGAGATGAGGGCAGGATGGATGGGAGCACTTGGGATCAGCTTTTTTTTGGGGGGTAGGGTGACAACAGGTAGTGGAGCAGTTAGTAAGATTAGCTGAAGCCAGGTAGGCCGTACCGATCTCACACAGGTCCCCTCCGTAGCTGGGAAGGCATAAGCATTTGAAAGAGTCGATGCCATCAGCGCAGGTAGCTCCATTCAGACAGGGGCTTGAGTGGCACTCATCAGTGTCTGCAAGAAATCAAGGGCTTCCATTAGGGCTCTGGGCAGACAACTCCACCAACAGGAGAACTTTTTTCCTTGCTTGTTTAAGTGGGAATACCAGTTGTTTTGGGGGAACTTGGGAGTTGCTAGGGTCTTATTTTAAACTGTCTGCCACTGCTGCTGCTGGTAGAATGAAGGCAAGAGACCCAACCCACCCTGCATGGAAGACATTGGTTTTCTGTCACTTGATGGTTGAACACCACTCTGAAGGTATCAGTACAAGCTCAGCAAGATGTGTCCAATGCACAGCACTCAGTGTCTTTGACAGCTGTGGTAACTCTTCCTTGTCTGCTGTCTCTGCCTGATGCATCAAACATGCAAACTTTTGTCTGTGTCTCCACCAGCTATGCCTTCTACAAGGAAGAATGTGGAATTCTCATAAGTGATGGAAACATCCTGAAATAGAACCTTCCTGGTTGCCGGTGCTCACTACTAGTTTCTTCCTAACCATAACTTAAATGAAATTCCAAGGCAAGAAATCTCTTCTCAGTGAAGATGAAGAAAGTGCAAAGAAGAAAAGAAGTGGGTTCAAAGGTGGTTCAGAGACCCTCAACTTTTTCCCTTTGAGGACCTTAGGCCGAGCTATGGGTGCCTCTTCTTTGGTGAAGAATACTGGAGTGCAGTGCCATTTTCTCCAGACCTGTCCTCACCATGTGCTCTCTTGCTTGTCATAGGGCTAGAAGAACCTGGTATGTCTTTTCCAGCTGTGGATTCCATCTTGGTGGAGGAAACTACTCTTAGTTTCCCATCTAGATAGAACAGCCCGTAAGATCCTTCTTGCTTTTCTGGAGGTGAAAAGAGAAGCTGGTATGGGAAAAGTCTGACCTACAACTCTCCAATGCTTCTCAAATTGCTAATTAGCACAAGGCTGCCTAGTAAATGCCACTATTTGGTAGCACTTCCATCCCCTGTCGTCATGGGGCAGAAGGAAAGAAGCATAGATACTCTGTAGCCAGTTTGTATCTGTATATTTTAAAATCTAGCTTGTTCTGGAAGTAAAAGCTCTTCTGCCAGTATGTCTCCAGACTGAGCCTTAATCCTACTTATTGAGGTTTGGAATCAGAAGGAGTCACTCAGAATGGAAACATTTTGGAGACATTCAACTCAGAAACAAGGAGGAAGACTAAAGAAGAAAGTAGGACCATATCCACAGAGGTTAGGTTAAATGATGACTGGTTAGATCCTCATGTGAGATGACGTTTCTCTTTTTCACACCCAGAAGAAATGTAAGGCTATAAAACTGCTGACTAGCACACTATGCTCTTCTTGTGAATGAGAGGGGTTAGTGAGGAAACAGTCCAAGATGATAAGCATGCTGGCTATGGAAATACCAGAGCAGAGTGGTGACTCCCCATGGTCTATGTTCATCTTCCGATTGGGGTATATTTGGTTGGATATTGTCTCCCTGCAGAACCGTGGCCCAGCTGCTCAGTGTCCCCAGACATACGAGAGCAGATGCGTGTTACAGCCCACATGCCTGTCCAGTCACTCAGTGGCCAATCTCCGATATGTCAACTAAAAGTTGACATGTTCTGTATCATGCCTAAGTGATGGAGAAAATTCTTTCTGACCTTGGATAGTAAATCCGTTCGTGCTTTTGAGCAAGAAAATCATCATCTTTGTTCTAGGCTGTATCACTGTGAGCAATGCAATTATTCCTCAGATGGCTGATGAACCTCTTACTCCAATTATGCAGTTCTTCTCTGAGAGAAGGAACTTTTCCCTCTGGATTGCCCTTCTAAATACTCGTGAATGCTTTCTCAATTTCTTTGTTCACTGTAACATGAAGAGAATTCCTATTTTGACGACACTAAGAGATACTTTGAGACTTTCCAGAACAAAATGGGGGCCACAGGCCTAGTAGACGAGAGGAGCTGAACTTGGCTGACTATTGCTTATTAGTCATACAGGGAGTTCCTAGAAGATAGAGACCATAAAGGAAAATGAGGTATCCTGAGGGATGATTACAACTCTAGAGGCCCCTTGGGCTTCCCAACAGCAGTGGCAGCAGAAGTTTGTGTTGATTCCAGTGGGCTCCAGCTGAACAAGGAAAGGAAGGCTCTCCTTTGTACGATAGGCTCCATGAAGTGGAAAGCACAGTGCAGAAGTGGGAACAAAGCACATACGAGCGCTAAAACAGAACGTTTAGCAGGGAATAATGGGGAATAATGAGTCTTCAGCTGTCTTCGGCAACATGGACTAAAACTTGGTGCATCCAAGATCTCTTCTGAGATGCAGAAGTCCTGCTGTGAGTTGCCATCCCTGGTCTTGGAGGAGGAGGGAGGAGGCACACATGTGCAAAGTCATTGCCACAAGTTTCCAGCTGGGAGATAACACTGGAACAGAATTTCCTGTTACAGATATTGTATATAATATGTTTGTACATATTATATAAGCTGTAAAAACAAATCTCTGCATGTAATATATATGTTACATATCTCTCCATACATATACATATATATTTTTATATATGACACATAGAGAAAGGGTGTGTACTTGCAGGTAGTGTTGGAAAAAGAGACAACAAATACAAGTGAGACGCAGACAGGTTTTCTTCGCAGAAGCGTGCTGCAAATGGCTGGAGAGAAGACTTTTTAAACACATGATGATCATAAATACCAAACTCCGCCTTCAGCCCGTTGGGCGGTTGGGGCAGTCACCCTGTCTCCATCTGGATGTAGAACCACCTTACCAAGCTGATATCAGGAAACTCAAACATATCCACCAGGTTGGAGGAGGCGTTGCTGATTCTGATCCTCCCAGGAAATCTGGGTCTTGGAGGTCTTTTAGAAAAGTTCTGAACGGTAAAATTGGCAGTGACATTGTCTCTGGAAACCCTGACAAGTCAATCTGTGGGTGTTTCTAGGATATCGCTTCTAAGCCATAGGATTTACGGGAGGCAAGAACTCCAGTAAAAAAAAAAATAAATCCCATCTATCATGCAACGCTTGGCTATTTTCCTCATAACCTTTTATGTACCATAAATGTGTCCACTTCCACATTGTTTAGAGCTAGATGAGGTTAGTAGATCACTGTACACCTCTTCAGCCAGCTGAAAAGCCTGCGGCACGCTAGGTGTGCCAGCTCTGCTCAGCATGGAGCGAGCCCCCACTTCCACGGCACTGTCTACCAGGTACCTTGACGCTCAGAGATCTTACGCAGATGTGAGCTATTTATTTGCTTGGGTGAGCAGTCATTCAAAAAGTCAGCTCTGCTTTGAGATGCAGTTCAAGTGCTTATCAACCGACAGAAAAACAAGAGTACTGCTATTATTACCCAGAGCTAACAAAGGACAGGCGGTAGAGTATGGAATGCAGAACAGAGGCAGCCCTTGCTTTCAAGAGCTTCAGCTCTAAAATAAAGATGGGAGAAAATGCCTTGTGGTGCCAAGAATAGGAAGCCCATTTAGAACATATTATTAACTCACTTCTTGAGGATAATGCAAAATTAGCTGCTCTTTAGAAGACGATTCATACTGCAGTTAATATCGCCCGGAAGTTGCAAAAGATTATTCAAATCTGTTCTCACAACAGTTTCTATTTTTTGCTACTAACAGGACCCAAGGTCTAACTTCTAGATTTTTTTTTAAAACTAAAACAATTAAACCAAAATATTCAATGTAAACAGGGTCTTGCATCTGGAAGATGTAAACTGTTGGCTGGAGAAAGCAAGGGGAGTTACGTAGCTACAATGCAAACTTTGAATTTGTTTCACCATTTTCTTCCTAAGATTTCTTTTACATTGCCAGATAGATACTATATTTAGTCAGAACTATTTTCTTTTGGTGCAACTAAACACAGCATAAGTATTCTCCTAATGCCTTTGACAACAATTTGCTCTACTAGATCATGGAAACTGGAAAGAGAAATCCTTTAGAAATGAAAGAGAAATAGATCGGTCCTGGTTTTGCTCAGAAGGCAAATGGCACGCAGAAGTGAACATGCAGTGTCAGTGTTGAGAAGGAAATGCTTTTAAAATCCTTCATCTCAAGCTAAGAAGACAGTACGAGAACCAGTACTAAGACTTTTAAAAACAATACAGTCTGTGCATTTCTCTCAATGGCATCCTGTATGGAAGATGAGCAAGAATACCCATTAAACAAGGTCAGCTTTGTGCTTACAACATCTGCTAAGGAGAAGCAGCTTGTGAACAGAGGATGCTGTCACCCAAACCCTGAACAAACTGTATCGTTTTCCTGAACCTGTGCGTAACCAGTTTAGAAATATCCTAGTATTTAGAAATACCCTAGTACTAAAACTCTTGGTTTTGTTCTGGAAAGAGGAAAAGGTAAGACAGAAAGGCAAGACATGTTCAGGATGTCCAACAGTCCCTGTTGTGCCCCTCACCCTTTCTTTATAGGCCTTCTAGTAAGTGCAATTATTCAAACAGGGACTCAGAGACTAGCTAGATCATTATCTTCTAGAGACTGAGGAAAAAAAAAATCTAGGTACAAATTAAATTTGCTTTTTGGAGACTCCTGGGAAGTTTGAACTGCCGATCTGAGAACTCAAACAGCGAAGAAAAACATTGGAGCAATTGTAGGGTGGCTCCTACAAGAAAAGGAGGAGCTAGGGAAAACAGTTCTCTCACATTTTAAGTAAAATGCTAGCATCGAACATGATATAGCCAGCTAATGACTTACGATGAGCATTTAAGTCATTAAAATAATTAACTAAAATGATTAAACCAAAGCCTCCATGCAGTGGAAGGGGCAGATACTACTACAGCCTTAAAAAGCTGTATTCCTCTAGAAAACAGCAAGTTTCCGGAAGAACCTGTTGGTCTGCTGGGACTTTCAATTTGTCCGACACTCTCATGGAAGGGGGGCTCGGGAAATTTGAACATCTCTGCCTCCAAAATACTATGTGTAGAAGTAAACTGACATGTCTATAACACTAGTCCAGCCCTGTAGGTTGCCTCTTCAGAGAAAGGTTTTAATTAAGCTAATAAACTTCTGATGTAAAATA